TTTTTTTTTTAACCAACTATGTACAAGACTTATCGAAATTTACTTTGGACATAATATTGGCACAGAGGGCAATGACTGGCGTACCAGTTAACGATGGAAAGCATTTCCCCAGAAATTCCAACAGCATTGGCTGCTTTGTCACTACCGTCGCATAATCATCAAACGATATAACACCATCTTTATCCACATCAAATTTCTTGAACAACAAGTCAACCATATCCGAACGCAACTCGTTAACTTCATCCTCATCATCACCAGTGAAAAATTTCTCGACCGCATGTTGTACTATCTCGCGATTTAGAAAACCAGTGTCATGAGTATTGTATATTTGAAATGTAAACTTAATTTTCTGATCCAACTTGTTGGTCATGAAAACGGAGAATAGGCGCACCCAGGCAACGGCATCTACCTCCTTTTTCATATCCAGTGTGATGTGCAGTAGTATCCGTTCGATTATTTGCAAATCGAAAATTTTGAATAAAACCAAAAATAGGTGAAAAAATTGCTTCTTGGTCATATGCTTCGCCTTGGAACCGTTGGCCAAAACGAATTTATGGTAAACCATTAGAATGCTGCTCACTTCACCCTCGGTAAATTGCGTTGTCTTGGCCATTTGCTTGATCAGATCGTGATAGATATTTCCGAACCGCGTGTTCTGCACATCATCCAGTGTGGCATCCAATTTATTCATAGTCATGATAATGATATTGGACAAAAACGGCAAGTATGGTGCTGAAGAGATGTTGCAACGTTATTTATTTCTCAATTGTAAATTTGTTTTGTTATTGATAAAATTTTATTTCGAAAATCGACTTGATTTGGTTGTCAATATCCATGTAAACAAAATTACCCAACAATCATTTTTTTTTTTTTAATTTTTAGCAAAAGTACCTTTTTGATATAAAAACTAAGTTATTCCTTTTTCTTAAAATTGCATATCTTTCACTTAAATTTATTTGAACAAATCGAGTAAAATGACTGAAATTTTAAGAAAAAGCATTTGCTTAGGTTTTTCGATTAGATTTGGATTTTGGGTTTAAATTTACAAATAATATTCTACGATTTTTAAGGAGCAGGAGCGATTTCTTATTTTTATTTTTTTATCCCAATACATCTTTCTTCTCGTACCGCAAATTAAAGCTCTTTCTAGTTTCCTTTTTGGTTGTTGTTGTTTCCGACAGGGTGGGTGTATGATGTATTTTGGAACGAATTTCCGTCATCCCTTGTCAAATTTGGTTTGGAGACAAACCGGTTTCGGCGTTGTTTGCATATTTCGCGTATAAATAACGAAATTCATTTAAACGCGTAAATACTTCGTAACCACGTAAACCTCGTGAACTTACTTAATTTAATTCACAATTATTATTACATTTTTTTTTTAGTAAAATTAGGAACAATAAAGCCATAAGAAACGACTCGCGCAGGCCAGTTGCCTTTGGCGGACGTTTTAGAGCGATTGTTAATGGGAAATCGATACGATGGCGATATTACAGGCAGAAAATTTATTGCCGAAGGAGACACTTTTCCTTATTGCCGGCAACAAAAATTATCTGGTGGGTATTTTCAAATTTATTTTTTAAATACCTTTTGTAAAAGTAGTTTGCATTTGCATTTCAAACACTTTTTTGTAACGTATTTGTATTTTTTATTTAAATATTATTTTTTAAGTATTTGTAACATCGCTGGCCGTAAAAAGTAATCGTAAAATATTGAACTAATCGTGCCCTTAAACGTATATGAATCTAATTTTCTGCAGGGAACATAGATTTATCGATTTAAGAGCACTAGTTACATCGATAAATTGCTTTCAATTTCTTTTGCTTTTATAACTGGCATTTACAGGCATAACGATTTTATTTCAATGATTCTCTAATGACTCTTCGAATTCCCACCCGATTCGTGTATTAAGCATTTCAACTATTCAGATATAAATAAATACATATGTACTATGTACGTAATGTACACACATACCTAAGTATGCACAGATATCGAGCAAAACAAATATTTAGCTGATTAGCTGTTATAGTGACAAATGGGCGTTAATTACCACAGCAAATATGAACTCGTATGCACATATGTATGTGCATACATACATATGAACGAATTATGCGTATTGAGATCTAAAGCAGCTGGGTAAATCACCGCCAGATTGCAATTTACAACGTAATAGCATCGTCTTTTTCTCAGAGATTTTTTGTTGTTGTTAGTTGGTAAAAATTACAAATTGCCAATAGAAAAATTTGAAAAATAATATCAAAGCAGTCAAAGTTTTTCGGACAGTCCATTGGAAATTCATATTTTTTGTCAATGTATAAAAATTACAAAAGTTATTCGACACAGTGCTTGATTTTTTTACTAAAATTATGGGGTTTAAAGGCCTTTCTGAAAGTCATTTCTCTCTTTTTTTTTGTACGGCGTGGCACAAATTGAAGGGCTTCTGCTTTCGCTACTCAAAGAAACGTTACCAGAAGGGCTTTTGTAGGACGTACTTCTGAAGGCCTTTTGAAGAAGTTCTTTTAAAGCTCTTTTTAGTTCATAACGGTCATACTTCTTTAAGGCTCAGATCAAATATATTTTATTGAATCCTATTTGTAATGCTAAATAATATAACTTTATACTTAAGTACATTCGCGTAAATTGTAAATAGGGACCCCCTTTCTAGGAAGCATGCATGGAAGCACAGTTTTCAGTCCTTATTGGGTAAGTTTTTTTAGAATGACTTCACTTCAGACAGCCTACCTAAATTATGTATAGGTTATGCATATACAAAATGGCAAAAATGATCACGAAAGCGCATTGTAGGATATGTTCAAATTTGCTAATGGCATGTAGTAAGGCAAGCATTTAAGACCACAAGTTACGTCACCGTCAATAGAAATTTGTTGTTTTATGATTAAAAAAAAATTCAGAACTTGAGCATTTCATCATCATTCATCATTCAGCTCGACGGATTGTGCCACAAAACTACTTTGCTTGTAGTAGGTATGTTCGTTTAAAATCTCTAGTAGAAAACATCCAACAGCAAAATTCCGGCGAATTAGAGAAAAATATCCGGAATAGTACGCAAACAGAAAATTTGCAGAAACTTGAAAGTTAGACGAACAGCTGATAGAATTTTTGTTTACCTTCAAAATTGTTATCCTGACGGTTATTCCAAAAATCGAGTTAATTTTTTTTTTTCTATGGATACGTTTCCGAGATATTTTGAATTTGCCGTTATTCTGCTTAAAACAAAAATTGGTTCCTTTTAATAAAATATATCTTACGAAAAAGTTTAACAATCTTGAAAAGAGATACGTCAAATCAAAGCTAATAAAATTCCCCATAAAACGTACATATATCACTTTCTGAAAGGACTGATAGTTTCTTACAAATGATATTATCATGAAATGAAAAATTAAAAAAATAACAGGTTCTGTGCCCAATTTTTGCATTTCTGCTAAAGCCTGTTCTGATAAAAAAAAAATAAATTTACTGATGAAGAAAATCGATGGATAAATAAGAAATTAAATATGAGTGGTCAAATGAGAATGCGCAAATATTTTTTATATGAAATATGAGCAGAAAAGCGTGTTACTCAGGTGTACGTGGCGTATGAGTAGCTTTCTTTCCTGCTCATTTTTCATACAAAACATCTTTGCGTATTTGCATTTGACCACACATTACTTCTTCATTTATCCCTCGCTTTCCTTCATTAGTAATTTGATTTTCTTTGCAAACAGGACAAGCTTTAGCACAAATGCAAAAATTTGGAACAGAACCTGTTATTTTTTTAATTTTTCTTCTGTTCAAGTATGACTTTTTTCCATATTTTCATTAAAAAATAATAAAAAAAAAACACTGGAATGATTAAATAATTTGTCAGAAACTATAAATCCTATTGGATAGTGATGTATACATGGTTTATGGAGAATTTTATTAGCCGTATTTTACATTAAGATTGTTAAACTGTTTCGTAAGATATATGTTATTAAAAGTAACCAATTTTTGTTTTAAGCAGAATAACGGTAAATTAAAGATATCTCGAAAACGTATCCATAGAAAAAAAATTAACTCGATTTTCCGAATCACCGAGCAATTCTACATGGAAATTGAATAATGGCATTCACAGAACATTTTTGCTGTAAACCAGTGTTTTTGATAACTATCAATAATTAAAAGGTGCGCGAATGCAGTTATGTAATATCAGAAAATACTTCAAAATAATGCAACGCTAGAGCTAAAGAAACTACAGTTACAATACATGTCCTGCGCGATGGATTCAAGATTATGGCAGCCCTAGCCCAAAGCATATTCTCCAGCTCTAAAGAAAAGAAAGCTCTAAACAAAAGGAAAAGAAGGAAAGAAAAAATCATATAAAAACACATAAGTATATGTGCATACATATTTCTTCAAGAAAACTCAACAGCAATGGCTACGTATTTTTTCGAGAAGCATAAAGACATATGTAGATATGTTTATTGTAATTTCCCATGGGCTGGAAACTAAGCTTAAAAATCGGAAAATTTGCCAAATAAAAGAAAAAATTCTGTAGAATGGAGGAAAATTATATTTTTTTGGGGCGCAATGACGAATCGGTATGGAAATTGTCCTTTTAAAATTGTATCCCTGAATATCCATGAAAGTTTTCAATATTTAGTATTGAAAAAATTATATGTTAAGGACCACATTATTGAATTTCGTATTTCTAACTGTATTTGTTTAAGACAAAAAAATAAGACCGCATTTTCAAATCCTATTCTTCTTTTTGAACCAAAAAAAAGGTTTTTTTTACTTGTACAGAATTTTATCTTTCATTTCGAGCTATCTCTGCAGCCCGTTTGAAAACTCCCTTTCTCAGAAAACTTTTCAAGAACCCCATATCTCAGAATTTTTTGTTCAAAAAATCCCTATCCCAACTAAAAATATATTGAAAGTATTGTGCGTTTTTGAATCGGAAGCTGATATAGGCCATTTTTGGACCGGACTGTGGAATAGGGTTTCTTGAAATGTTTTCTAAGATAAGGTGTTTTTCAATCAACTACTGAATTAGGGCGTTTTGCAATCAAAAAATAAAAATAAATAAAACGCCGTTTTACTATATTAGAGCCATAGTTTCGTGGGTATCTTGATTGTTTCATGTGTGTTGAAATTTTTTAGTATTGGTAGCATGGTGTTATTTATAATTATCTCTCTTTTATAATGGTAAATAAATATTGGTGGTGTATATTTATTGTATTGTCCAACCCCGTGGCAGAAGAAACCATTCAGTTTTTTTTTTCAAATAAAATTAAGCAGGCATTTTATTCGTATTTAGTAATACCTCATAAATTAATGAATAAGCTAAGTAAATTTAAAAAAAAAAAAAGAATTTGCAGCCCAAACCGGTGCTGATATGAAATACCTCGTAGCTGAAAAAAATTACATTCGTTTTCCTTAAACTTTTGATTTTCCTATAGAGGTCACATTCACATCGTTCTAACAAATTCTGTAAATATTTTTATTTCTGATAGGTTCATGATGCAAATCAATTAACACCATTAATTTCATGTATCGTTCAAACCTCGAAAAATTCGACGAATGCAGCTATAATTTAAATGCATCGTCATATTTTTACGTGAATCATTGGGGAATCATAGAATTTTATATTTGAACATTGAATTTGCCATTAATGTGTGATATAAAAATATTTAAGTGTTATTAACATACGTACATTCT